AGACTTTAGAATGAACAGGGCTACTGAAATGTTCCGCAGACCCTCTACTAACCAAGAAAAAAACTTAACAAAAAAATCCTGTCCTAAACTGTCCTATCAATAAACTTCAACCCTTCAACCAAACAAGGAAAGACAACTTTGTTTTACCTCAAAATGGTGGCCAAAGAAGGCAAGCTTCTGAAAGGCGCGATATTTGGTGTGGGGCAGCACCGAGCTCCGCTCCCCTCCCAGAAGCAGTAATGAGGGAAGTGTTAACAAACGTTAGGAATTCTCAATTTGTAGCAGCAGACTGGAGGGCTCCAGAGGGCAGCCCTAAGATAAGTCAGGAGAAGAGAGTGCACATCCAGAGGGAGCAAGTCAGTTTGCCAGAGTCCAAGACACTGGAGTCGGGAGAACAAGCCAAACCCCACAGAGCTGGTGTGTCTCCAGCATTTGGGGTCATTAAACAGGTTATTGAAAGAATTACCTGGGTCAGTGTCAGGGTTCAACCAGAAAATCAGAACCAGTAGGAGGTGCATTACAAAAAAATCAAGAGATTTATTGCAAAGAATTGGCTCATAATTGTGGGGACTCCCTAGACACCCAAATCCCTGATCCGTGAGGCGGCCTATCAGGAAGGGCAGGCTGGAACTTTCAGTGAGCTGAAGCTGCCCACGGTGCCCCGAATATCTTCAGGGAAGTCTCACCTCTGCTCTTAAGTACTTTTCAGCTGATTGATTCAGGCCTAATCAGATTGAACGAAGCTTACTCAGATTATCTAGGCTAATCTACTTAGTTTAAAACCAACTGGTTATAGACTTTATAGTCACATCTACAATACATTACAATAACATCTGCATTCATGTTCGATGGAATAACGGGCTGTAGTTCTGCCAGACTGATGTATAAAACTGACCCTCACAGTCACCTAGCAAGGACTTTGGCCCCAAGAGACCTCTTGTGTTCTTCACTTGCGTACTCAAGCTTTAGACCAGCGCTCAGAAAGCAACTGCCAGCTGTTGACCTAGGAAGATGGTCCTCAGCAGGTGACGAAGCTTGTAGAGTATCCATACTGTCAGAACTGATGAAAATTGTAAACCAGATTACCTAAATTCATTATGAGCAAGACGACAATATGGAAAATGTTAAAAGAATGGAAGAAAGGATTCCTTGTGGTACACAGTATGAGCATATACTGTGTGTAATTATATGCAGAGAATGATTGATACAGAATAATTAACGCGAGAATATCAGGTATGGAAAAAAGTCACCTCCCAGCAGGTAAACCAGTCTGGCCTCAGGCTTTATGCCAACATTGGAGATAAGTGAGGACAAAGTTAAAATAACCAAGGAACAGACAGGAACTCTGACAGAGTAAAAGTATGTTACAAAATTAGAGGGCAGTAGGAAGGCTAACAGTGTGAATCCTTATCAGAAATTTTAGTTTGACTTCCATTTTTGCTTTGGTTAAATTTAATTAAAAGAACTTAATTGCATGAAAAATAGGCATGAATTTGAGGCATGAATTTTGTTTTTTGTATTGTCTCATGTATACAATGTTTGATAATTGTCCATTTTTTTTCTGTAGTGTGTATATGCACAAAATGCTTCGAGTGATGTTAACTTCACTGGTTATTTCTGGTTGATGAAATTTGGGATATATTGTATTCTTGCATATGGCTTTTCCACCTCTTTGAATAATGAGCATGTGTCTAGCTGGGAAAGCCAGTCAACGCACGGCTTCTCCACCCCATGCACCACCGCATGAGAATGACCTTGGGCCTGGAACATTTCCTTGCAGAGAGATAAAGCGCTGCTCCTCACAGCCTGTGCTGGGCATCTCTTTGAGATTACCTTTATCTATTCTGGGCTTGATCTGTTCTTCTTTGTTCTGCTTAAGCATGTGTGCTACATGGCACCTGACCAGTCCCACTGCTACATCTGTTCCCAGTGGGGAGGGAGTGGAGACCTTTGCCTGCAGCCCAAGAAGGGTATGTGCAGACCATCACTGCATCAGCCCCAGGGTGAGACCCACTGGCCGTGGGGACCCACACTGCTCACTGTTGAATCTGATGTTGCTCTTTTTCTTCTCTGTGCAAGTAAAGCATTGCATCCAATGCCTGGGTGAGTCGTCTTTCTTGGCAACCCCGCCACCTGCAAGTCACGCGGTAGGCTGACATCTTGGGGCAGCTCCCAATGGCCAGCGTTGTGCTCTCTGCTGTCCTCTGGTTGGGCTCCTCCCCTGGAGGTGGAACCAGGTGTCACTTCCTCAACATAGCCGTTTTTATACAAAAACAAGCTTTAAAAAACTGAGGCAGAGATGAGCTGCAGGGAACAGAGAGAGTTAAATAATGAGAGGTTGAAATAACAGTGGTGATGCTGGAGGAAAAAACTGATTTGTATTGGAAAGGTAAAAGCATCAGGATGGAGCTGGGGAGAACGGAAGGATGCTTGCTTAGGTTCATGATGTAGGCCATTAAGAGGGTAGTGGTGCTTTTGATGGTAATGTGAGAGAAGTGGCGTGTTTTGGGGGCACTGTTGTGTTATGGACATACGGAGAAAGGGTTCAGCAGCAGTAGGGAATGGAAGATAGTGTCATCCAGGGTATTTTTACTCTTGGTGCTGTTGCAGCCATGGTTTTACTTGAGTATGATGTGGAGATTTGTAAATAGGGTGTAGAGTTTAAATGACCTTGGGCATTTGGTTCCCTGCTGGATCCTGGACCCTCTAGTTCTCATTCTTCATGAGTGCCTAGTATTGTTTCATTTTATAGCACCCTACAGGCAATGTGTAAAGTTCCACATCATTTATTTCGCATTGTCAAAAAAGGAATATAAAAACACAGGAGTTGACCCTTGAACAACATGGGTTTGAACTGTATGGGTCTATTTATATGTGAATTTTTTTCAGCATATACACAGTGGCTGCAATTGAATGTAAGGTAACAGACTCCATAGGTGATGTAGTTGATAGAAATGGAAAAATGTACATAGGGGTCTGTAAGGTGATTGAATCGGCAACCTTGGCGTCATTAACATCACACAGCTATCTGGACCAGAGAGAAATGCCAGGATCTGATTGGAGTAGAGCAGAGGCCAGGTCCGGCAAAGCCGAGGAGGGGAGAAACCTTTGCCCTTTCCAAGTGAGCCCTTCGTAGTCCTGGCGTGACCCACCTGCAGGCAAGTGTCAGCCCCGGCCAGGGACCAGTGAGGTGGCTAGTATCCTCTGCTTTCCTGCTGTGTCCTTTTTGTTGCACCTGAAGTTAATTGACCCATTTTATATGCAGTAGGTGTCAGTAGTTAAGTGTTTGGGGAGTGTACATGGATTTTCAACTGTGTGTGGGGTCACTGCCCCTAATCCCTGTGTTCAACAGTCAACTGCAGTTTGTTATTTCCAAGATGCTTATATTTTAAAAGATTTTTTCCATGTTCCATATGAGCTCAAGGGACTATATTAAGTTCTGATTTCAAATAAATATTTGCAGGGCAAGAATATATATTGTGAAAGGAGCCTGTGCTTAGGAGTCTTGAGAAAATTTCCTGTTTCTTTTTAGGACTCTATCTGTTGAAAAACTCACAATCTGTCTTAACTACACATCTTTATGAAGATGCGTTCCTGTTATATTGGTTCCAAGATGCATTCCAATTTTAAACATGATAAGATGCAGAAAACTGCATGTCTTAGAAATAAGGAAATAAAATTGTTTTAAGTATTATCACTGACAGGGAGTTTAATTTATCAAAATTTCAAGCATTGTGGCTGGTAGGAGAGTGTTTGGTGCAAATAGTATTTGCTGCTTTAAAATCAACTCAAGTAAAAGACCTTGATAGTTTCTAATGTGAGTCACAATTCAAATACACATTGTTAACTCTTAACTCATGTCAAAATTCTTGATGCATTGTTGCTATATTGTTACTACTATGTTATTAGTTAATCAGATGTAATGTCTTTTTTAAAAAAAATTCAGGATGGATGCAACCTTGAAAGAACTGACTAGTTTAGTAAAAGAAGTCTATCCAGAAGCTAGAAAGAAGGGCACACACTTCAATTTTGCAATTGTTTTTACGGATCTTAAAAGACCTGGCTATCGGTAGGTAACTTCTCTCATTTTTAATTCCTATAATCTGTTTTTGGCTTTGATAATGTTTTATTGTTAAGGAATAATCTGTTTAATGAATCTCTTTAGTAGGAAAAATGTAAATTTATACTATCTTAATATCTGGTTTAGCTTTACATAGTAATTAAAACTTTTGAACTGTGCTGTAAGGTAAGGAGCATATCCAATCCTGTATTTACTTTCTGATACAAACTAAATTCCATTGGTTTGTGATCCATTAACAGCTCGTCTCTTTTCCTGCAGAGTAAAGGAGATTGGCAGCACTATGTCTGGGAGGAAGGGAACTGATGATTCCATGACTCTGCAGTCGCAGAAGTTCCAAATAGGAGATTATTTGGACATAGCAATCACCCCTCCAAATCGGGCACCTCCTTCGGGGCGCATGAGACCATATTAAATTGTATTTACTGTTTCTTGAATTAGTTTTCATTCAGTTATGTAAAATAAACTTTTTTCCTCCCTTCATTTTTGCCATTAAGCCTTTAAACAAATTGTGAATTATCTATTTAGGAATTAGGTTTGGCTGTGTTATGGTATGAATATTAATGGAGTCCATATGTTTCAAATCTTGTAAAATATGAAGAAAACTGCTCTTAGCATTCAGTGTAAAACTGTATTGTTAAATATATGTGTGCAATCAACCTGAGTGTGAACGTTACTGGAGGCATGGGAACAGGGCTTAGTGTCGTATTTGGGGTTATACCGAGTAGTGGCGGATGGTATGTTAAAGCCACACTGGAGCAGAATGAGAAAGCCAGGGGACTGTATCCGCAGTGGGTTTGTGGCCTGGCCTTTTGAATGCGGTTTGGGAAGGACCTCTGTGGATGAGGCAGCATGGCAGCAGAGGCATTTCAAAGCAGCGTGAGCGAGGCAAGTTGAAGAAGCTACCTGTGTTTGAAGAGACTGGCCGGCCTGAATCAAGTTACAGTGACCAAGTTAGCAGGACGATGGGTGGCAGGTTGATGGCTTTTTATATTTAAAAAACGGGCAGAATGGGGCATTTTGGCGTCAGGAACCACAGTGGAGATAGCAAGGGTTAGGTCTTAGGCTACGGGTGGAAAGGTTTATGCTAAAGAGGAGTGAAAATGGAGGGAGGGGTGCAGGAGGAGTCCGAGGAGCCGGGGGTGGGGCCCAGTCGGGTGGGTAGGGGACAGTCACATCCTGGCGGGTGCTGGGGACTGGTTCGTTTCTGAGTATCAGGTTTGAGAGGCGCAGTGTGCACAGGGGTTAAGACCAGCTGTGCTAAATGTTTAAAGCCTGATCGCATCAGTAGCTCTGCGAGCATGGACAAGGTACTTGAGTTTGTTTTTTGGTTTTTGTAATTCATAAAATGGAGGTAACAGCTCATAGGATATGGAGATCAAGGATTTGCAAAGGGCTTAGAATAGATAGCCTGATATGTAAGAAGCAATAAATAGCCATAGATTTCAGTCAAAACTGGAACCATATCCTGCATGGCGTCATTTTCATTCTGAAGTTTATATACAGTATGGCAGTATGTAATCAGCCTAAATTACTGCTAGTCTGTTACAGTAGAAGGTTGAAAATGCATATTCCAAAATGAAAGTACATGCTAGCAGTGATTTTGGAGTAAGATGCAGTAGTTTGATCTGGAACATAGAAAAGCAGCCTTTAAAAATCTAATGTTCCTGTGGACTTGGTGTTCCTCCTGCAGCCAGTCACCAGGGGGCAGGGGCGAGCCTGGAATCGGGGCCTAGTGCCTCTTCTGAACCCAGAGGGTTCAGTGGTTTACCCCGACCCTGATTCTCTCATGTAGACTAGGTAGGCTGGAGTTGGGTAAGCTGTAAAGGTAATTTAAACCCAGCTGTGGGGGAGGAGGAGCCGTGATGATCTCCCTGTTTGTGGGGAAGAGCAGGACCCTACAGCGCAGGTCGGGAGCTCAGTACAGGGCCTGGACAGGCTGGTGGTACTCGTGGTGTGAGCTGCAGGCGGGACTCTCCTGCTGCTCCAGGCCATTCTCCCCATAGTTCACAATAAAACGGTTTATTTGCTTGGTTTCAACGTGGGATTTCTCCTTTTTAAGATTTCAATCTTCCACCAAAAGTAGTAAAGAATGCCTTGTGAATTTATTATTGAGTATAATGCTAAGAATCAAAAGACTTAAGTTTAATTCTTAATTCCCTCTGGCTTTGGTCTGTGTGGCTTTGAGTAAGTAACTGAGCTGTTTCTTCCAAATAGGAGTAAGTGGTCACCATGACAGCAGAGGGTCAGTGCGTTAGCATCCTGACTGCCTCCCTTGCACGTGAGGTTTTTGTGGAGCTGACATTTGCCCTTTGTCATGTGTGATTTATAGCACATGCATTGCCTATATAATCTTTTCAGTTTTCTCAGAGCATGCATGAACTTGGTTATTTTCAATTACCAAATCCTCAATAGGGAGTTATGATGTTAAGTTTATACTTAAATTTTACAAAATTTTTGGGTTGGGACTGTTTTACCCATAGTAATTAGCTCAAGTGATAGCTCAGATGTCCATTTTCTGCAGGTGTGTGCATGCATGTGAGGGGCAGGTGTGAAGGGGAGAGAAAGCTATCAAACGGATATTAGTTTAAATTATCTAAAATTTAAACCTATTAAATAAAGAGCTGAACTCAGACCTACCTCTTTCTATTCAAACAGTTTTTATGAAACAGAAGGCAGTACCCTAAAACAGCTTAGAACTTCGTCAAGGCACTTAGCTTGCATTATTTCACATAGCCTTCACAGGTGAGATAAAAAGACTACAGTTTGTGTTTATGGATGAAATTGAGGCCTGCTTCAAATGACAGGTCACCAGCGGGGTATATGAACCTAGGTGGCCAACAATAAGTTAGTTGAAACATGTTTCTAAATATTGTGTTCTTTCATAGGTTGTTTTATCCTCAACTCGCCAGCAATCTGGCTTCCACACTACACTGATGCTGCTCTTGTACTGAAGTTCTTTGCATTTATAATTTTCTGCCAAGGTACTGTGATGTAGAGAATGGACCTGGTTCAGTTTTTATACAAACAAAACATATCTTTTAAAGAAATGATACGGTCCTGTTTCCAGTTTGAGCGCAGGGCAGTTAGGTGAGGTCTGTGTGTGTTGATCTAAGAGCCTGCAGTGGAGGCAGCCTGAGGGAAGTACGTTCGTGGATCTCCCACCTCCATGCACCTTAATCCCTAGGTGGGGGGAAAGGCTAAGATCTATGAAGCAGCTACGAACAAGTAATTCTAATAAAAATCATCAGCTTGGGAATGTGACACCGAAGTTATTGTAGGGAGGTATAACTACATACCTTTCATAAAACTGTAGGGAGGAGTCAATGAAATAGAGCACGTACCTGGTAGGTAGTGAATGTTTAGTAAATAGGGATGTAAAAGGAAAGCCATTTGTAGTCCCTCGCTTTGTGCCTTTTGTTCAGGGTTCGCTACCCTATCCAGGTTAGCAGGTCAGCCCCATTTTAACCAAACTAAGAAAATATCACAGGATTTGGTGAAATTAAAGCAATTTAAATTCTGAATGAGGTGAATCTCCTGAGGCATTTTCAGACTGAAGATTATCTGGAGTAATTATTGGGAACTCAGAATTTGTAGCATTCTTTATTAACTCAAACTTTCCAATCTTTTGCCAGGGAACAAAACATTTAATGAGCGTCTTTCATACACCAGGTACTGTGGGCCTAGGGATACAGATACAGATCCTTCCCCAGGAAGTCTATACAGTCTAGTATTGAAAGCATAAATATTGATGGTGATAAAAGGTGGACAGGAAGTGTCATGAGGTCAAATCACTACTGAACGTGGAGTTTGTCCAATTCCTCCAGATAAAGGGTACAGAATGAACAACGGTGTGAAAGTGAAAACCAAAGGCCTCACCGTCAGCGGAGCTTCCACCCTGGCTGGAGTTAAGGATGGAAAGGAATGCCACGCTGTTGGAATAGTCCAGGCGAGAATCGCAGTGGTGGCAGAGGGTACAGGGGAGGGAGCACATCCCAGAGATTTGTGAGATTTTGGGGTGGGAAACGGCACGGGAAAGGGCCAATCAGTAAAGCTGTGATACCCTCAGTGGAAAAATTGGGATGATGGTACTTCCTCCTCAGGAGCTGATCCAAGAATTAAACTGGGTGAAGTATATTAGAGCCATGCCTAGCATATCAGTGTTTGATGTTACCATTAATTCAGTAAATTGCTAGGTACCAGTGTAATCATCAAACAAGGTCCTCGCCTTCATCGAGCTTATGGTCCAGGGAGAGATGAACATGAAATAAATGTACGCTCAAATATTTTATTAGGAATTATGTCATGTATGGATGAGAATGGGGTGTTGAGGAAATCTTTTTTTAAGAGGGCCTCTCAGAACGGGAAAATGAGGCAGTCTGAAAATGACGTTAAGTATGAGATCTGAAGCAGATCAGCCAAAACTCTCTGAGTTTCAATTAACAAGAAAAGCTACTTAAGCACAAGTTTAGGCAACATCTAACTGAAGTCCTGGGCTAGAGCTAGCTGGTTTCAGGCCGAGTTCTCACCTCAGCTCCCCTCCTGCCAAGGCTCCATCTCACGCAGGCCCTCCCTGGACAGCAGCTGGCAGCCCAGGACGCACACCTCTGCACGTCCAGATGAGCATGCTGCTGTTCCAGTGGCTCCCAAAGCCCTGGAGTAGGCTCTCGCTGACTGGACTTGGGTCCGACTCCCATCACTGACTGGTGTGTGTGGGCAGGGAGTTTGCTGTGCTGCTGGGTTGAGCCTGGAGCAGGGCTGTAAGTTCTTCCAGGAAAATCAAAGTATTTTCCTTAAAAGGGGCAGTAGTAGTGGGTAGACAAAAACTTAAGGTATTTACAAGCAGAGTGGGTAGGAAAAAGTATTCTAGACGGAGCAGTATGCGTGAAGGTACAGCATGAGGCAGGAAAAGGGAAGCCATAGCCTGTGTGGCTAGAGCACAGGTTGTAAGAGGGAGAAGTAACCTAGGCTTGAATTACCTGGGGTCGTGTATTAAGGATCTTGGGTTTCACTTTAAGAGCAATGGGAAGACACTGAAGGTTTTTAAAGTATATGAGGCATAGTTGAAAGATCCTAACATCCAAAGCTAAGATGGAAGCTGAAGTTTTAAGTAACTAGGATCATAGAGAAGTGGTAAGGGTCAGGAAAAAGAAATTTTGGACAAATGGAATTTGAGGGGCCATCACATAAGTGGAGATACTTAGGCAACAAGGAATATTTTATTTCCCATCTAAAACAAAACGTGTTTTTGTTCCATATCCCCCTGTAGCTGCCGCACCATCTCTCTCCCTTTAGCAGAACTCAAGAGCTACCTAAACCCCTCATCTTTGCTTCTCCACCTGTGTTCCTCTGTCCACTCAACTCCCAGCATGCCATGAAAATTAACCAGTGTTGTAACATCAATTTTGCCAAGTTCAAAGGTCAATTGTTTTCTTGCTGTATTCTCAGCAAAATTGACAATCGGTCACCCTCTTTGAAGTTCTTTTCCCTTCTTGACTGGCCTCTTTTCAGTCTCCTTTACTAGATTGCTCTTTTCCCATCTTCTAAAGTTAGAACTCCAGGCTTCAGTCCCTCGTCATCTCATCTATCCCGTGGACTTATGTACAGAGAGCTACGGGAAATAGTGAATTAAAGGGTGATGGCAGTTTGGGGGGTCAATGTCATCATCATATATAAAGTTTTACCTTGAAAAATAAAACTATCTTGAATTAAATTATAACTACACAGTAAAACCTTGAACAAAGAGTAAATATCTTAGTTTTCTGACAAAATGAGAGCACAGTGACAGGTCTTCCACATTTGACTTTCAAGGCACAATTATAAAAGATGGTCATCTTTACTGCATCAATTTTTCAAATTTGAAATAAGCCTTTGAAATATCTTGTCATGATATTTGCAGATTGTTTCTTCTCAAATTTATTTTCCCTTTGGCTGTAATCTGAAAACTGCCAACAGCACTTTCATGAACTTAGATAAAATTCTCTTCAGTTATATTTACATGGGGAGGATCTCAGGGTGTGGACAGGGCAGCCTGAAGCCTTGGGTCCCCCATCGCCTGAGGCCAGCGAACAGTCCCCAGAAGGGCAGCTGGCCGGGAAGTCATCAGAACCTTCCCGAGAACGAGGCTGAGACTGTGTCCAAGCAAGAGGGGAGCCTGGAGATCCGCAGCTGCGTGGTGGGGAGGCTGGCTGGAGGGGCTGAAGCGGACAGGAAGTGATGAGAGAGAGAAAACCCCACCCGTCCTACCAGTAGGGGAATCCGATTCCAGCCGCGACTACGAGAGTGCAGTTACCTCAGTGTGCAAATTCCTCTTTTCATAAATTAAGCCGCCATTTGTAAACAAGAAAGTCTTAAAAAGAACACTGTTGAAATAGAAGATGTAAAAGACTGAGGGACAGTCATGAGACAGAGGGCAGCTCCCGCAGACGGCAAGGACCACCCGGCCACGACAGGGTCAGGGGCCTTAGCAGAGCAGCAGACAGGAACATGAAAATTTCTGAAGTTATTTATTATGCCTCCTAGCATCATTTAAACCATTCTGTTGGATTAGGCAGGATAAATTTGAGCTAAGTGAGATAGTAACAATCTTTAAAAACTGAGTAAGACTGAGTTTAAACCCAAAACTTAATAAAAAGCATATGGCACTGCTCTCCATGCTTAACGGAAATACGGAGGGGGCGTGAATGACAAGGTGAGTCCAACTCTGCATTCATTGCATTCTGTTCAGTTTCTGTAATGGATGGATCCACTAGAATTTCTGCAAAGACATACAAAAAATGAATTAACTACGATCAACAAATGACAACATTGTATATATATTTTCAAGTTTTTAAACAATTTTTCATTGAAGTATATTTGACACACAATATTAGTTTCAAGTGTACAGCACAGTGATTCAACAATTACAATACAAAATGCTCAACACAGTATCGTTACTGTATGTCACCAAAGTTATTACAGTATTATTGACTTACTTGTTTTATAACTGGAAGTTCTACCTCTTTATCCCCTTTACCTATTTCTCCAATCATCTTCCTTCCTTTCACTATGGCAACCATCAGTTTGTTCTCTATGAGTCTACTTCTGGTATTTTTTGTTGCTGCTGTTCATTTATTTTTTAAATTCCATGTAGAAGTGAAATCATATGGCGCTTGTCTTTCCCTGAGTTATTTCACTTAGCACATAATAACCTCTAGGTCCATCTGTGTTAATACTAATGGCA